TGGAGCACTAGTATTTTATCAAACTTTTAGCTGATAACACAAAATGCGTCGGATCATCAGTGTTTTGCACAAAGATGGTGTAGAGGTCAGAGTTTCAGTACCTCAGGTCAGATCTCTGCCAAGCCTCAGTGTGTGTGTGCGTCTTGCAGTGTCTCTGCTGTTGTGTTAGGTGTGAACTGTGGCCCTGCGGAGCATTGGGTAACACTAGCGATTGCCTAAGCCAGTTGTTGTGATGATGTCGTAACCAGTTGGACCTGGCCAGGATTTGTCTGTCATGTGAGGCCTTGTTCTCTATCATCCGTCAGGGCCCGTGTGTGTGTGTGTGTGTGTGTGTGCGAGTCAGTTGCTTTGGAATATATTATCATTAATAACCATAAATTGTGAGTTTTATGAGTGTGTATGTATATATATGACCGCACGCCATCAGAGGTCAGACAGACAGGCCAAAGGTCGCCTCTGACTCATTGCCTATGGAATTTAGTTTTCACCAAACAGACACAGGATGCCTAAACGCCGTACATGAACAGCTCAGGAAATCATAGTTTTACATTGAAAAATGAGAGGCAGACGTGTTCACAAAATAAACCCTTCACAGCAAAAATCAGGAAACAGGAAGCTAAGAGATCTGGGGTTTTCCCTCTTCATCTCCTTGTTTTGTGAGAGCTTATCTCCTCATTTATAACTATTGATTTAGTTAATTCCTTGCACAGGTTAACTTACAGACAAGGTTTAGTTTCAAACACTGGTTATTGCAGTTTTACTGAAGAGGGAAAGTTATGTGACAAGATTATATTTTCATACTCAAGGCTGGAATGATCACTGGTAGATTTCCATTCTTCATGATCAGACCAAATATGGAGCAATTGGTATTATTTTCAAAGTTGCAAATCTGAAAAGGAAGTTTCTGTTTTGAAGCTTTAATCTGCAATTTACACTGTAAAAGACTGTGCCACCCTTTTAACTCTCAGAAAAATGTGGGGATGTGTCAGATATATATAGTGACATTTGTGCCTTGTTTGTTTAAAGCACTTATCTAAATTTGTCTTTGTCTCTAAAATAACTTGGTTTGGGTGGCATTGTAGAATTTTACTCAACACACTGATGCAAATTGTCAACTACTTTTGTCTTGTTCATACGTTGATGTTGCACAAATTGTGCTGAATCTCCACACTGAGCAGGATTTGGAAAAAGGAAAAAGTGATTTGCTGGCATTGTCAGACAGTGGTGGTACTTTAGTTTCTTCTCTATCTCTGGACAATAACTTGACTTAATATCGGTCAAATTGTGTTTAGTTCCTGAGACGAAGCTGTGTTGCCTTTGAACAAAGGAAGTGTGTATAGATGACACATGTCCGTTTTCTGTTTGTTCTCTGTTTTGTTTGAACTCATATATTCAAATGGGTCAAACGGTTTCCTACCTGTTGTGGCAAAAAAAAAATAAACCCAACAGTTTAAGCTGCTTCTCACCCCACACCCCAACCACAAGTCACTAAGGTTGGGGTTTTTTTTCTTTTTACGTATTTCCCCTTAGCTTCATTTGTTGTGGTATTAAAAAAAGATTTACTTTTGGTTGCTTTATATCATGATATTTTACCTCATTTATCGATTTACTTTGGTGAATATATGAATAATGATTACGATAATTTTCTCCTGATATTACAAAGCCTATGTTACCATGTTGGTTAAAAAATCAATTATCACTCACTGCTTAGGTTTACAAATATGTGCTGTTATACAAGATATACCAACAGCATGCATAATTAGTATGGTACATAATCATTTTATAATGTGTGTTAATGAAGCTTCTTGTGCTTTGTGCACAGCTTCTGGAAGTAATTTAATCAATTGGAGAACAACAGTTGTAAAGTTGTAGACTAGGATCCACACATGCAGCGTTTTATGGCTGTAAAACCACCTAGATTGTTAAGACTTTTCATTGTTGTAATTGTTATTATTTAACTATACCATATTTTTCTCTTTAGAGAAAAAATTTCACAGTTTATAGATCAGCTCGGATTAACTGCAGTGCATGTTCGACAATAAATGTATATCATTTATGCGTTTTATAACAGAGCCACAAATAAATAGAACATTATCGTATGTAATACACAGAAAAAATCCTCATTCAAATTAATATACATCATTAAGTCATGCACAAAAAATATTGTTGGTCTCTGTGCTTTCCTGCCACATTAAATGAAAAGAAAAAAACAGAGAACTCTTGATTGAGTTATTTGAAGTACATTTGTGTTGTTCCGGCTCATAAAATAAAATTAGAGACATTAATCTCTGAGCTTGATTTTAATCATGACTTGTAGCTGAATTCTATACATTTAATACATTAAACAACTACATTATTAGAACTTAGCAGTAGACATGCTGTTCAACAAGAATACGTGGTTTTTACCAAATTATGCTCACCAGAAATTTGGGCATGATCAATGTTTGTCTATTTAGAAATTAGGTGAAAGCTTTTAGAGTGTAAAAATCTAACCTAAATGCATTTTAAAAAGTGCCGTAAATACTTTATTTCAAAGAAACTCACTTCCTTGTTTCTCAAGGCCACAGAGTTTCAAAGTCTCACCCAGGAGAAAAGATACAAGTGAGGAGTTTCTGTCACTCTCGCTTGAAGCAAAAGATTCTTGGAAACTTGTAGTTTGTTCAGTAGCTGCTGAGTAAATAGTTCAGGCATATTATTTGTGAAATTAACATCTTATTTTTATACATTTTAACTTGTATCTGCTCCTGTTCTCAACTCAAAATCAACACAGAAAACTGTAGTTTTACTCCCTAAAATTTGACTGAAAATTAAGATCACCGTTTACAACTGTTTCTGTACAACATGGAACTATTTATTACACATATTTAATGCATGCACAGGTTACACAGATTCTCATTCAACTCCAACTAACAGGAAGATAATATTCTGAACTTTTCTCACTCACACACACACACACACACACAGAAAGATGCTGGGCACAGGTACTCACGAGTCAATTCTAAACACACTTTTCAAATCCAACAGTTTCACATGTTCAGACGAAAGTGAAAATATATTCCCAAAAAAAGCATAAAACCGTGAGATATTTAAAGGACAGACGGTCCTGACTGTGAGGCATTAAAACGTGTTTGACTAGCAGCTCTGAGCTTCTTTGTTGCTGGATTTGCCCAGGCTCATGACTCAGTATTGCTCATCGTGTAGGAGATGATTTTGCCCGCCATTTCTCAAAACAGTTTCTCTCGCTCTTTGTTCTTGTTTGCTTTAATCTGCTGAACCCATGTGTTTCTTCGAGTGTTATCTAAAATTTCATTTTCCCGCACAAACCCACATGTGGCTTTTCATTCAGATTGTGTATTTTTAAATGAGTTTGGTAAGTTTCTGAGGTGTGGAGATGTGAGGAATTTTTGTGAAGAGGGGGATGGGAATAGTGAAGGCTTTGTTTCCCTCCCAAAGAAAAAAACTGTAGCTTGATTTTTGATACGTGAGTCCTGAACATATTCTATTGTGTCATTTAAAGCATGGCATCTGTTCGACTTTCTGTCTGCCTTATGTACGGTCACATTTAAGATATCATTACCTGGTATAAAGTTAATCATTACTCAAAGGCTTCCTTGTAATCTCATTTAACACAATCAGATTTTTTTTCACCACATGATAAGTGTGTGTGTGTGTGTGTGTGCGTGCGTGTGCCTGTGTGTGTGTTAGGGAGGACGGAAATTACTTTTCTCCATCAGAGAAAGTTGCCAGCCCTAAACTCAACCGTATGTGACATGACTGCCCACGCAAACCTGCGCTCAGATCTCTGATGTGTCCCATGGCTTTGATGATGGCCCCCAGACACGAACAAAAGACGTAAAAGTGGAGCAGAAAGGTGGCTTTGAAACAACAGCTCAGGGGATGTAATTATCAGTGTATAGCCACCAAAAAAGAGAATAAGTGAAGGTCTTTAGTATGTATTTGTTTAGTGATTAATCACTAACTCCAGTCCAGGGATGGGCCACTGATTCGCTCTTCTAGGGCATTCTCCGCAGTCTCTCGCGTCATTTTTTTTTCTTTGAGTGTGTGTGTGTAAGAGGTGGGTGGGTGGGGTGGGGGGGTTCAGTAGTGTGCTTGTAGTTGGTGGCTAAATCTTGTAAAGGGTTTCCTAATATGGGCCGTCTTACAGGAGCGCCCTCCCCCTGTGGGCCATCCCCCCCAGGTCCCAGCCAGTGATGACACAGTTTGGGTACGACTCACTTCCTCATTAATTGGCTGAAACCAGTTCTTACAGGAACCGCCTGTGATAAATGTGGGAGTTCTGAGAAGTCATTCATTTCTCCTCGCTGCAGCGGCAGAGGAGGCACTGCAGGGGAGTTGAACGAGTTCACCGATGTGTGTGTGTGGATGTGTGAGCGAGAGGGGAGAGAGAGAGAGGAAGCCGAGTATGTGTGTAAGAGGAGAGGAGAGGAGAGCGGGAGAGTGACTCCTGATGCCGAGGCTGCCGTGTGAGGACCAGCCAACTTTTATTTATGCTTTTCTTCTTTTTTTAATTTTCTTTTTCTTTTTCCTCTTTTGGTTTTGAGCACCACTATTTCCTGTGGCTGTGGTACAGTCTGTACTTTTTCTGTGTTTGTGTGTGTCTGTTTGTGTGTGTGTGTGTGTGTGTGTGTGTGTGTGTGGGGATGAGCAGTGAAGGGATCGCACTCGTTGCTCTCTCCGTCTTTCTCTCTTCTCGGAGAGGAAGCAGGGGAGAGCGACACAGTACAGGAGATAGGACAGCATGCCTCCCTTTGTTGCTGCCCTTGGGCTGGTGAGTAACAATGATGTGACGTGATTTGTGCCCCCCCCCCTCCACCCCCCTCCCCTCCCTCCCTCCCTCTCTTCCTCCATGCCCCCCTCCCCTCCTCATCCTCCTCCTCCCCCCTCTTTCTCTCTTCTTCCTTCCCTCCCTCTTTCCCTCCTTTTCCTCCCCTACCACCCCCTCTCCCTCTCTCTCTCTCTCTGTGTGTTGGTGGAGGCAGATCTGTTCCACTGCTGGGTGCGGCACTGCAGAAGCCCTTCAGGGAGCACTTGGAGGCCCAGAAGGCCAAGCTGCACCATCGCGCCAGAGAGGGGATCCCAACTGTAAGTACAGGGGCCTCAGCCCCCAGCTCACAGTCTCTATTCATTCACATGTGTGCGCGCCAAGAAAAGAATGTGGCCCCCTTACTTTTGCCTCTTTCACTCCTTCTCCCTCCACTTTTTTTGTGTCCTTTTCTTCTCTTTATGTAAGCCTTCCTTTATACCTCTGACCCATTTTACTCTCACGAACACAAGTAATTCTGTTTTCACCTTATTCACCTGTACCTTCTGCTGTTGAATTAGATTTTCCTTCATACGTATTCCTTTAACTTGATTGAATGTTTATAGGAGAAGTGTTGATGTAGATTTTTTCTAGAACCTGTAGTGTTACAGCAGATAACAGCAGCTTGTTTAGGGCCGGGGTGACGGTGTAGGTTAGCACTGCGCTGGGCGGGCTGGAGGAGAGGGGGGAGAAGAGGGGCCAGTGTAGGGTCTGGCTCCACTCGCTGTATTGAACTGTACTACTGTAGCGCGGGGCGTGCTGACTCATGCTCCATCTTACCAATTGGGATGGTGTGTGTGTGAGAATATGGTCACTCCCCTATGTGTCACACACACATACACACACTTGCACTCAGTGCTCCGCCTGAACCCAGCAATGACTGTAGACCGGGGCGGGGGCCAACCCCCCCCTCCGCCAGTGACAATCCATCAAAACCCCCTGTCTAGAACAAAAAGAGCCAGTTGTAGCTTTCTCTTTGAAAGCTTTTTTTTTTTTTTTTGCACCACTCTGTTTCTCTTTCTTGCTCTAAGTGATTCATTGAAAACGTTTTTTTTTCTTTTTTTACATGCGGATACAAAGGATAGACTTTGAGTTGCACAAGGACAGATTAAGGCATTTCTAGAACAATGTTCCTTTTTTCTTGTAACTTGAGCCTCCTGCAGTTACAGGAGAGAAGCAAGCCAGTTTAACTTGGTGGAGGCAGGCTGCAGGCTGGGGTCAGCGGGGGCGTTAGGAGGGAGGACTGCGGGGGCTGCCGCGTGTTTTATTACCCCTGATCTCTATCTGTCCAGCACATGGAGCTGGATCCCCACCTAGCCTACAGCATCAGGAGCAGAGGGGAGAGCAGGGTGTCGGGTGAAGGAGGGTGGTGGTTGATGGGGGGGGGAGCGGTGGCCGGCCTTCACTTTACTGACCAAGCTCCTCTCCTCTCTCTCTCTCTGTTCTCTCTGTGGTTCCTGGCAGGAGGAGAACTGGCTGTCGTGGCTCTTCGAGAAGGTTGTGGTCATCATGGTATGCTTCTTTGTCTGCTCCATTGTCAACTCCATGGCCCAGAGCTACGCCAAGCGCCGGCAGCGGGGGAAACACTCAGAGGACAAGACGGAGTGAAGGCCAGCCGTCAATCACGGCAGACCATCAACTTCAGAAGCTCCCACCTCATCGCTCCTCTCCCTCGCGGCCGATACCCCGGCATTATCTGAAGCAGCATATCTGCCCCCATCTGGGTTCTCTCTTGTTATTGTAGCAACATGTTGATGTTGAACTTGGACTTCCACTCACTCACTTTTTAAGGCTTTTGCATTTGGTAGTAATTTCTGCGAATGTTCCCTGTGAGGTAGGTGCTTGTTGGAGTGTGTGTGGAAGCTGCTGCGTTGTTCCTATGCAGTTGGTGTGAAGTAGGTGCTGGCAATAATTCTCCTTAATGAGGCCTAGAGCGGCACTACTCGTTTTACTACAGCATCCTCACAAGTCTCATATCTCCATAGTCCCTTGAATTCACTTTTTCTAGTTTAACCTCGGATATTTGTTACTTTTGATGATGTGGTGAGTGTTCTGTAAATCCAGTGGATTCATTGTTAAGTAACTTATTTATTTAGTTAATTTATTAATAAGAGATTCTGTATTTATTACTGTTAAGAGTTGAACAGTATTGGTTGTGGTTAGTTAAGAGAAGTAAATGGACTGTAAATAATTATGTGCTCTTCTAATTTCTACACATCGTAGAGTACTAAGTCAGCTGTACATGTTAATGAATGTTTCAAAGTGTCTGTGGTGCTTTAGACGACCACTTTGTGAGTGTGTGTGTGCGCAGTAAAGCACATTTTGGTAGTTTTGGATGAGAAATGATAAAATCGGCCATGAATCACCCTGCTTGTCCCTTTGTCTGCCCTTATTGTTCTGCTTCCAGGAAGAGAGCACATGAGTCAGCCTGGAGCTACTTTACCAGATGCAGCCATATATTGAATCAGATCTACGACTGTGTGTGTGTGTGTGTGAGAGACAAAGAGCTAGACAGAGATAGTAGGTTGTGTTTGCGTGGCTGCCACATTTGTAGCTCTCTTTTATCTTTTATGGATTAGAGCAGATTGTGCTCCACTAATAGACTGAGAGTCTGCCGGGAAGTGGTAGTGAGGCAGATCGTAGGTGCTCGCTCTAACTCAGACAGTCTGTGTCATGGTAAGTGTTTTTCTTTGTCTCCAATTCTCCATCGAGCTTCTTTTTTTTAATCCTTTTTACCCACGATGAGGACAGAGAGCTCATGTTTGACATCACATGAGCTGCTCCTTACACAACAGCATTTTACATCATCCGTGTTTTGTTCTTTTTACCTTTTTTTGTTCATTGGACGACGTCGGCCAGCTCTTAATATATGCACTACCGTCTTTTTTCTGTAATTGCCAGTGAATTGTGCTATTTTCTCCTCCGTCTCTGTACCGCTGCTGTGCTATGCTGGACTGAGCGCAGTGGGCGCTAGAGCAGGCACAAGCAGGAGGGGGAAAAAAAGCCTCAAGCGCACAGTGAAAAGCGTCTGTGCCGTTACCTCAGCTGAACCTTCAAATGAACTCGTTGCACTGCCCTAGTCATGGAGCCAGGAGACGAATCACTCGAGTAGATTCAAAACAGAGGGGCACTGTTGAGCGGGCTGAAGCCTCCGCTCTGCACCAGCTCTAGTCCAAATGCTCACCTCTCCTTTTCTCCTGTCATGGTAAGTGGGATTAGCATTCTTTTGTTTAGCTTTTTTCATTTCTTTTGTTTCTGTACATGTGTCCGTCTCAGGCATGTCCGTCACTCTCTCGGCCTGTCAGATAGCTTATCAGACTGGTGTTGGCTGTTTAGATTGCAAGGCGACAACAGTCTGTAGGCTGTCTGACATTTCGGGCTCTTTCATCTTGACCAGCATCCTGTTTTGTCCTCCTTCTGTTACTGTCATTGTCTCAGTTAGCATCAGTTCCCATTTAGAGGTGTGCACTTGGGATGTCACTTCCCTTTATCCAAACGTCAGAGACACGGGACTATTGTTTATTTCCTCATGCTGAAGCCTGTGAAGGATTTAATGTGGTTTCATGTGGGGAACTGTGTCTTCACATGTTTTGCAAATGCTAATGTCAATTGTGTACTTCTGTATATGAACACGTGTGTGTGTGTGTGTGTGTGCGTGTAAGTTGGCTCTGTCCTCTTGAATTTCCTGAGAATCCAGACAGTACACACCTTATTGCAACACATCACATTGTGACACCCAGCCCTAGGTATGGTACACACAGTGCTCACCCAGCTTTCCTCTTCCCTTTCACACTTCCCTCTTCTCTTCTACTCAGAACTTTCTTCTCTTGCTCAATAGGCACTTTTTTGTAGGAGGCTGCAGTTTATTATAACGACTCTCCTGAGGGGCTGTTTCTGTTTTTTTTCTCAGGGCCACACATTGGTAATTATACAAAGCTTCAAATCATTGCTTGACCAGTGGATGCTTTTTACTGCAGAGCCTCAGTTTTATTTTAGATTATACTTTTTTTCTCCACCAGTGCAAAAGTGTAAAACTTTTTCCTGGTCATAAAAACAAAATCATTGGATAACACTGGAATGGCTCGCTGGCTTAGTGAGTGTTTTTCTTGGCAGTTTCAGGATGTCCTGTTCCATAAGGGAGCCCCCTTTTGGCATGCCTGTCTGTGTGCGTGCGTGTGTGTGCGTGCCTACATTAGTCTCAAAAATGTGTTTCTATTTCTATGTGTGAGTGCTTGTATCTCTAGTGTATCAGTCTGTATCTGGGTCATTTGTAAATGTAAATGCACTGTATATTTTCTCTGCTTTCACTATAAATAAAGTTGGTCAGAAAGAGGATTGGTGTTCTGTCATTATGTGATAAGTCTTGATCACACCGGGGCCAGTGTTGACCCACAGGCCTCCAAAGAATCTCACATGTCAGCCTGGAGCGAGGGACAAGGAGGATACTGACTCCGTCACAACTCTGATTTCCCCGTCTAGTGTTTCACCTCCAAATGGTTATCATGTTACAGATTTGCTCTCTCCATACTGACATCAGCTCCATTTCAGATTCCACATTAAGCTTTTGCTGTAAGTTATGACATACAGCTACACTTAGGCTCTTGTAACTAATTAAACCTGTAATTAAATACGTTACTTATATATACACACAAGTATTTGTGTTAGTAAAGCACAAGAATATAAAAGATAATTTATAAAACAATACCTTACACAATATTTTAATCATCTACATTTGAGTTAGTTGCTACTTAATTATTATGTAACTGCAATTATATTACATCATGTTTTGTTTTACACACTTTGGCAAATACAATCCTCAGATGAAGGTAAAATGAATGAAACACCTCAGTAATACATGATAATACAAAGAAGGTTTCTATTTTGCATGATGCAGGTATTTTTGGCCTCGGATCAGTTCTTTGTGGTCTTAAGTAAAAAAACAAAGGAAAAGTAACCTGACATTGGAGTATGTGTGCGAACGCAGCATGATCTTGTGTCCTGAGGTCAGATTATGTGACCTCCGCTGTGAAACTCCTGTCGGGAGAAGTCCTGTTCCCAGAGCAGCCACACCCAGAACACCATGAAGACGACTATTTCCACCCGCCTCACCGCGCTCTCCACCCCACCCTGCCCCGGGGCTCCGGCTGAAAACCCAACATGCAAATCCTGCCTGTCCAAACAGGCTGGGGGACGGATATTCAGATAATGACACTGCTTTTATCTTTCCTCTTTTTCTCCCTCTGATCTCTCCATATGCTGTACATGTACTTCAGCCGAATCCGACGGTGCTGGTTTCATTTCTGGCACGGTGACCCACCCACCCACTCACCCCCCGCACACACCACCTCCCTCACTGTCTCTCACTCCTCCAGTTTTCTTCCCCCTCCCTGTCAGCAGGCTAACCACCGAGGGATGCTGAAATATCACTGACTTCATCCAACACCCACCCACAAGCCCACTCTGCATTTGGTTATCCACTTAGTTCCTTTCACACTCTGTCTCATTAAATTATGCTGACCATGTGGATTTTTTTCTTTTTTTTTTCTTAAGTCAAAATCACATTAAGGTCCCTTGTTTTTGCAAGTGGCAGTCAGAGGGTCCCATCAGACCACACTGGAGGGAGCAGACACACCAAACGGCACTTAGTACAAGAAAATTACAATTAATGGGTATATCACCCAGGATTACTCACTGCTTTTTTAGAATGAGGGATGATACAGTGTCAACTTGATGTGAGGGGGAGCTGTGGTTTTAGATTTAGAGAGAAAATGATTATAAACTCGATGTATCTTAGTTTGTACAATTAAATACTGAATTTCTGAGCAACAACTATGTGATTTAAATGTCATCAAGTCCTCGTCCTTAAATCTGAGCTAAGAGACAGGTTGCATCTTCTTGTTCAACTATTGACCTTAAAAAGTATTAGTGCAATAACAGGGAAGGGTTGGATCTACTTTCAAAGTAATTTAACTCGTCTGAGAATGTAATATATTTGTATATTATAAATACACAAACCAAAAAATAGAGAATTATTGTCATATAGTGGTAGTTGTTTTCCCAGATCATGGTCACTGTGTCATCGGATAATGAAGAAAGCTAAGAAAGCAAAAGAAAGTGACTTTTTAAATTTACGATTTAAGATTCAACAACTTTTTTTCTCCTGAATTAAAACAAAATGAATGGTTTTCAAATGTGAGCATAAAGCTCTGTGCAAATCTACACACAGGTTATATTTGTGTGACACAGTTTATTTGGGACTGACCGGCGCAGCTGTGTGTGGGTATCTCTTTCTCCGTCATACACACATGTTTATATGGGCACACAAACACACACACTTCATAACTGTGGTTACTGCAAAGCTCCGGCTCCAAAAGCCTTTGTTTCCTTTATTGTGGCTTTGGCACATCAACATCAAGCTTATCAGCAGCTTCAGACCCCTCGTAACTCAGTCCATGTGAGAAGGGAGATCATTAGATCACCAGATCAATTCACAAAGATTGAGTGCCCTAACTAAACTTATCAACAGGCACTTGGCCGCCCTCTGTTGTTGCATGATTTACAATTATTCAAATATCATTCAAATCATTACAATCTGTTGATGCACTGTCTCTCCGATTCAATTTGACACAACAAAACACGTCCTCCTGCGCTGTGTTAAACTAAATTATGTGTGGGTATTTTAACAGAGTATAGTTAGGCAGGAGCATCTGCTGCTCCTCCCTGCACCGTGCCAACATGGCAGACTGCCTAATGGCTGCTGCCAGGTGGCAATGACGGGGCACTGTCTCGGAACACACACACACACACACACACACATCTGTAGCTCTTCCGCCTGCCTCTTTCTCAAGGCGGTGAAGCTCAGATCAATGTTTAGTTGCTTATCTGTTGCTGTACTTTCAAAGATTTCAAAGTATTTTCAGTCCAGTTCTGTATGTTTGTCTTAACTTCGTCTTCTTGGTTCTGAAGTACATTCACCAATGGAGCGTGTGAGTTATGTCATGGTCGTGCTCCTCTCTTTACGTGGCTATGCGTTATAACCAGACGCAGAGGGGTCATTGTGGACTTGCGTATTAGCTCAACATGGTTCTTTATTTCTGCTGCCTCTTGTTTCCCAGGAGCTCTGCCAAGGACACTGCATCATCCAGGTGTGTCATAGAAACACAGGAGATGCTGGAGTCAGATTAAAAAAGCACAATAAAGCAGCAGCATTCCTCACAGCAGAGTCAGTGTGAAATTGTACCTAATGTACTGAATGCTTCGTCACTCAAACACTGTCAGAAACAACACAGCACTTTGATGTGGGAAGACTTCACCGAGTCAGAATCTGACAGAACTGACTCTCCTCCTCCTCCTCCTCCTCCTCCTCCTCCTCTGCAGCAGCAGCAGATTTTAACCCCGGGCACTGAGGGCAGCTTAAGCTACAGCTTTTACATGTCACTGCAGGTTTCTGTGTCATGACATGATGCCACCTCAGAAATATTACTCAGGAATGTCTCACACTGCCTTCCAAGCATACCAACGCTGGGAATGCGTGGTCGGCTCTTTCCGCCGACCAAGCAAATTGGGCAATGCCAGAGTGAACCAGAAAAACTGCCAGTAGATAAATGTGCAGACAAAGGTTTGAGTTTTCAGGAGGCTTTTATTTAAAAAACGTGAATGTAAATAGTCACTTTGGTTCAATAGAACTGGAAGTGACGCGACAGGAAGTCAGGAGATCATCAGTCTGTGGGGTTCTTCCTCTGGGGACCATGGATATCTTCACCTCATTTTGTTTCCATCCTCAACAACTCAGAAAAACCTGAAAATCTCAACCTCATGGTGGCACAAGAGGAAATCACAGGATCCCCAAAGTGAAGAGAATTCTATCCAACTGCAAGTCCCAATATTCAATCTTTGAAAATAAACTTCTAACAAACAGATCCAGATCATTATGAGTTGACATTGTCATGTTAAGCACAATTTCAAAAGTAAATCTAGCAAACGTAGACTCGCAGTCAACATACATCACATTTTCTAAATCTTATGAATGGATGATATCACAATTTGATTTGCAAACATTAAAAAAATACTTTGTTTAATTCGATCACACGTCAGAAAAGGTTTTCTGAGTCAGTCAAAGGCGGCAAAAGAAAAAGGAGCTTCTGTCGAGATTGAACATTTTTGCTTTGATGTTGGACAACATGCAGACAGAAATCTATCTGCGACACCACTGCATCCGCTGGTTCTACCGTTACCAACTGAAGCTCTCCGCCTTTGTGCCACTGCAATCAGAGCTAATTTTACTCTTGTCCACATACTCTGCATGAGGCCTGTTCACCGCATTCAGTGTGGTTGTATGCAGCGTGCCCATCAACGTGCCGCAAACGACCACAAAGAGCAAACAAAACCAGACACGTTCATGCCAGAGCACACAGCAAACACACTGCGCTCCCAGCTCCTCTGGACTGGCTCTTCAGCTGTGAAGTTCCACCAAAAAGACTTTTACTGCTCTTTTACAGCCTCACCTGAGCTGCCAAATTGTTTATACGCCTTCTTTTGTTGTTCCATCTGTGATTGCTACCAACTGTTGAGCATCATGTATCAGAATCATCACGTCTCTGCTTTACCTCCACATCCTGCAGTCTCCATCCTCTCCACACCGAAAAGGGAAAGAGTCTCAGAGTTAAGGGTTTCTATATTAGTTCCATATGCTAACAGGATTTTATTAAAATCCCGCAGAAATTCCTGAATTATCAAAGTACATCAGTGCTTAACTTTATCTTCTAATCCAAACAGAACTTAGAGGGAAATTGAACATTTACATTCATTCCTCTCCCTGTATGTTCCACCAGATATGTATGGAGACCCATTTCTGCCAAGTAAAGGAAATAAATATCAAAAATATATTTACCATGTCAATATTTTGACATTCAATTTTGTTATTTTACCTGCTTTTTGCCCAAATCTTGCAATTTCATCTGCAAGCAACATCCCATTGTTGTGAGATGCTTATTGTATAACTTCTAATATGTCGTTTTCATTTAACATCTCAGGTTGCCTCAGTTTTTGTGTGGTGTTTCTTGAGGTGTTTCTTCAGGTTTGAGGTTTTCTTGGTTTTGTAGCTGCAGAACTCTGCCGGCAAAACTAGATGCACATTTTCCACCTTTTCACAGCATTATAACTGAACTTTGTCGAAATATCAACCCACTTTGTTTCCTTCATGTTCTTTCCCCTTCACTGGGACATATTTGGGTTCATGGTCGTGTTGCTGGTGAGCACAATCACCAGAAAGGGAAATATGCAGCCGAGGGACATTTTGGTTATTTAATTGTTTGGAAAAAATG